TCAGGCCAGTTCCCAGACAGTTGTGGCCACTATCCGTATTCCTAGACTTATGTATTTATTCCAAAGCAGAACGATCCTGCTTGATTGTTAAAACTGTATATCAATGGTATACTTTAGTATATATTACTCTCTGACTTTCTTCATTCTTTGATTTATTTGTGGATTTCACCATATGGAGGATTATGCTCAAGCTTATTTATTTCCACCTCTATATGACATTACATCGTACTGACATCCATAATTTAATACCCATTCCCTTTTTGTTGGACATGAGTTGTTTCTAGATATTTGCATTTATAAACAATATTTCAATGATAGTCCATGTAAATATGAGGTAAATGTCTGATAGTTTTTGTAGATTATATACCCGGGACGATGCACATCTCAACCATTCAAAATAATTCCAATTTTTAAAAATAATGTTTAAAATAACTTAGGTTTTCACCAGTGGTGTTTTTCACATCTTCTCCCATACTTGGTATTATTAAACTTTTAAATTGTTGACTCACTAGTGGATTTAACGCTAGTGTCATTTTAAATTTGATTTTTTTTCATCTAGTCTGATCACCTCTGGCTTTTAGTGGTTAAAGTTAGTCTTGTGCCTCAATTTCTCCCATCTTATTTTATTGCCTTTGTTTCACTTTTTCTGTTTTTTTGTTCCTCCTTTCTTCCCTTACTTTGACTTTATTGCAACAGCTTTGTTGTTATTATACTGTTTCCCATGGTTCAGAAGTTACACATCCTTATCCTACTCATATAAAGGGCTTACTTTAAAATGTTAAGGTCCAGACCCAAATGAATACTAAATGAGAAATAAAGTACAAGGCTACATAATATGTAGGTTGGTGAAGGGTAATTAGAGGTCAAATAGCCTTTCATCATTAAAATTCTCATTTTCTGTCTGAAAAATGCCTTCCTTTGCCCCAATAATTAAAGAATTCTGGATATGCACTTTGCCCACCAGGCCATTAAAACTGAAGTTCTGTGACCTGATCAGTAATGCCCCAGCAAGAGGCCAGTTTTAGTACTCCACTACCATTCCGAATTCATGCTGTGAATGTGGGGAAGACTTTGAGGACTTTTCTTTCCTATGATTCCTGTTAAATAATTAAAAGATTTCATTTAAAAAATAACATATACATCTTGCCAGGGTAACTCTGTTTATTAGAGCATCATCAAAATACACATATTTATGAATGCTTAAATATGTGGAATAGCAGGTCAATATTTCTCTCTCTTCCCCTCTCCCTCTAAAATTAATCAATAAATAGAATTTTTAAAAAGACAAGAATGGCCAACGTCTTTGGAAAATATCACATGCTATATATGCAATGCTATAGTATACTATAGCATCACAGAGAGTAGTTTTTAAAGTCCTAAAAAGTAATAATAATATATAGACTTCTGCTACCAGGAATATAGCAAATATGTGATTTTTCCTAATTCTCATGCTTGAAACAGAAAAACTCTTGCTCATTATATAGTAAACTAGTATCCCAGTGCATGAAATTCGGGGGAGGGAGGTGTCCCTCTGCTTGGCCTGTGCTCTCTCCAATCTGGGATCCCTCTCACAATCCAAAAGTATTTCTGGCTCCTGCCTGCCTGATGCCCCTAACTGCTCCCCTCTGGCCTGATGGCCCTAACTGCTCTCCCCTCCTTGTCTGATCCCCATAACTGTCTATCTGCTCTCCCATCCTGGCCTAAACCCCTAACTGCCTATGTGCTTCCCCTTCCTCTCTGCGCCTTCAGCCTCCTGCTCATGAGTGCTGAGAGCTCTCCACTTTGACCCCACTCCTGACCTGATGCCCCCTCCAGGCTGCACCATGGGCCTACAGGGCCTCTGGTGGGTTGGGGTGGGAGGTGGGGCAGCTGTTCCCTGAGGCAGCCTCATGTCCAGGTGGCACTAGTCCCTGCCCCCGTCCCCGCCCACAGCTCCTGTGCACACGCATATTGTGCAATATATTTTTAAGATCTTCACATTGGGAGAAATTGAATAAATGTATATAGAACCTCTGTGATGTTATAATTTTATGTGATCTACAATTATGTAAAAAACAAAATGTTCAAATTTTAAAATAATACATTAGTTGTTCGTAGGGGTTATACATGATATATTTTCAGAATGCCTCATTGGCCTCATTGCTATAAAAAAGTCTTAAGTTTGCTTCCAATAATGATTTTTTTTTCTATTTGTAATGCTCCACACATAAGAGTACAAACATATTTTGGACCTGCAAAAAATGCACGTCTTATTTTTTTGTTTGTTTTGCCAATTTCAGAAAGTTCAAACATTCTTTTGTGACCCCATGAAGCATGCAAAGTATATAATTGAATAACCTTAAAGTCCAATGAGAACAATAATATTTCTCCTTTATTGTAAAGAGATCAACAATAAGACTTTTTTTTTTAAAGTCAAACATATTTCTTTAGAGCCTGTATTGGGTAAATAATTTCTTAGGTAGTACAATTATAATGAATAGGCTATTCTAGAAAATTCAAATCTTAGTTTTTGGGAATATATGATCAACAATAACACTACATTATGTAATACAGAACTAGAGGAATTATATCCCACAAATTAAATTGGAATTCAGTAAGGTCTTTAGGGCCTGTCCTTTACCTCATTCAGTGAATCACACTTATTCCAAATAACTCGTAGGCAATTGCAAAAAATGCAATTGACTTATAGTTTTTGAGGAGCTCAGCTAGTATCTGTGATTTACATTAATCAATATGTACCTTATTTACAAGAAAAACCTATAATGAAATCACCCAAGGAATAGAATCATACAGAAATATGTACTCTCTTCCTATGTTTCTTTGATTGATGAAATAACTTTTATATATATTCTATAAAGACATCTATAAAACGGAGGTTCTTTTTCAAGAACTCTATTATCTCTGTGTTGAATAGTTTTGCAGCTGAGAAGATTTCAGGAGTATTTTGCTTTAAGCAATACTTCCTCAAGCCTTTATTCAACACATTTCTCTCGTAATAGCTCCAGAAGATTTCTGTGACTGATTATTCTATGTGATTCACTCAGAATACACTAAACGCTAACATTAGGCTCACAATGAAAATGGCCAGGAATTAGAAACACAATATTTTAACCTGTTCCCTTGATAAAACCTCCTTTTCCTCCTAAAGTTTCAACCTTATATATAAAATAAATTTCTTGCCGGCACCAGTTTGGCTCAGTGGTAGAGCGTCGGTCTGCGGACTGAAAGGTCCCGGGTTCGATTCCGGTCAAGGGCATGTACCTTGGTTGCGGGCACATCCCCAGTAGGGGGTGTGCAGGAGGCAGCTGGTCGATGACTCTCTCTCATCGGCGTTTCTAGCTCTCTATCCCTCTCAATTCCTCTCTGTGAAAAATCAAAAAATATATATATATTAAAATAAATTTCTTCAGGCTCTAACAGTCCTCACATTTACAGGCACAAAGGACTCCCCATTATAATAATAAGGATTTTCAAAACAATGTAAGGTTCAAAATTACTTTTACAACAGAAGAAAAAATGGAGACATAGACACAATTATCATTTAAAGATAGTCCAGCAGTTTTTCTACCATGAGAGGCACACCAGTGTGCCACAAGAATTTTTAAAAGATGCAATACCTGACTGTTTAGTTAAGGGCACTGACCTCTTTTCTCAATAGATTGTTAAAAAAAAATTTTTTTTTTAATTAAAAAAAAAAGCCAGTACAATAGCTGTCCAGTGTGAATGATTCAAAATTACCTATTTTTTGTCAGATTGGCAAAAAAGGTGGTAATGTAAGAGCCTTCAGGTAGCATTGATGAGTGAGTGTCTATGGGAGTGCAGGAAGCTGAGTAATGAGAAAGCACCCACAGTTTGAGTTAGAGTTTGAACCACAAGCTGATATAGTCAGTACTTTTATTTAAAAATTAGGACAATATAGCTTAAATTATTTTAATTTCTGTGAGCTTCTACATAGATGCAATTCTATGTCGCTGGTATTGAATAGTTCTTTATATAAAGAGAATGAGAATTATCTAAGACCTTTTTTTTTATTATTATTTCTGTCCTTGGTGCCAGAGGTATGGGCATTCTAAATTATCAGACAGAAACAGGAACTTAAACTTTGATTAAAGGAAATGGCGTCCAAGACATTTACTTCTTAAAATGTTTACAACAAAATAACTGCAGCTATGTGTTATATAATATACACCTAAACTTGATTCTTTCCTGCTGTATATGTAGCAAATAGCTTTTTCCCTTAGTCGTTTACATTAACTGTCAAATGCATTTGCTGTACTTCATAGCCAAATTGCACACATCAACAGAAAAGAGAAGCAAAGGCAAGCAGTACTCATCCATAGTTTATTGGCCAACTTATGAACAAGCATAGACAATTAGCTTCCTTAGCAATTCTGAGATTTGAGTCACACAGGCAGATGATGTTTTCAGTAAAAGTTCTGGGAGGTATCTAGTGATTCATGCAGCCGGAGGGTGAGAGAGATGCCCCATTTGGTGGCATGAGCTCTTCCTTCAGCACATTCACCAGTTACTTCTCTGGGACCAAAAGGAAAGGGAGCCGGCTCCACCAGAAGCCACAATATATATATATGTTTCCATATACAGTAAAGCTGCAGTCTCCCTCCTATTATTTCATTCCTCTATAGTAGATGCCGCTTTCTTAGACTCTACCTGCAGAATTTTAGCGATTAAATTGACCATAAGGATTATTTTACTGCCTAGGAAGGTAGACCTCGCATGATGGGTGGCATGACTGATTAGTGGTAAAGCTGGTGAACCAACAGTCTGCATGACTTCAAGTCCCTCCTCCCCTTGACTACACGATCCTGCTGCTTTCCATTCCTTCCCCTTTTATTCTCAGGACGTAGTTGAGAAGCATTGGGATAATGTCTTGCTGGTGCTTCTTTAAGCCTTTTTCTTCTTCACACATGTAGTACAGTCAGGCTGTTGAGCATAACAACTTGTGTAATTCTTAAGGAATCTCTGTGTTTTTCTCCAAACAGCCCCCAAACCAGTGGATTTGAAGTTATGCACCGGCCCTGCTCCTAACACCACACAGCTGTGCCACATCCCCTGTCCAATTGAATGTGAGGTTTCACCTTGGTCAGCTTGGGGACCTTGTACTTATGAGAACTGTAATGACCAGCAAGGCAAAAAAGGTATGTAATATTAACATGATGCACTTGGAATTCTCCTCTCTTGAGTCAAAGCATCAGTTATTTAATAGGCTACTCTGTTTTTCTTGTTATTATTCATTTGTGATATTTTCCAGAATGGCTAAAGAGTATTGATTGCAAAGGATGAATAAACCTAGTCTTGCTGATGGTGCTAGAAGATTAAAATCGAAGTAGGCAAGATACTTGGTAATTTAGACAGCAGATGGAGAATGTCTAAGGCAATTTTGCACAGTGGTTATAATTAGCTGTGGTGTCAGGCTGACCTGGATTGGAAACCCTACTCATCTTATATTGTTTAGATAAGTTAACCAACTTATCTAAATCTTTGTCCCTTTATCTTGGAGGGGGATGTAATAATATCTACCACCCAAGTTTTCTCTAAAGATTCAATGAGATAATGATGAGAAAGCTCTCAATTCAGTGTCTGACCCGTAGCTGGTGCCCAGTGAACAGAACTCATTACTCTGAAGATAAAAGCAAAAACAAAATGCTGCCTATTTTATGATGCAAATGATATATCTAGGAAGAGATGAATAAATGCAGTGGTTTGTTGTGTGGTAAGCCATGGTGGGATGATTTTAACATGATCCGGTAATTAAAAATCATTTCCCCATTTTCTTTCAAAGGTTAGTGTCCTAGCGATTCTAACATCTTCACATGGCAACAGAAATTAATTTTGTTATACATTGTCAGAAAGGCAACACTTCGGTGCTAGGAAGGCACAGAGCAGGACTCTGGCTACTTATTAAAGCCAAGATGGTTTATATCCCTAATTCCAATTTCCAGGGAGTTCAAAATCAACCAAGTCTCAAAGAGACAATTTCCTGGGACTATCAAACTTACCAGAAGTTCCTTTTTCAGATATAATTGTGTGATAAGTGTTGAAGAATTTGAAGTAATAGCACTTTTGTCTGGTCATGAATATTCCTGAATAGCTTGGTATTTCATTGTTTCTTTGAATATTTTATAACTACATACTTTCTACATCAAGCAAAAATAATCTAGATTTCTCTTTCTCTTTCTCTCTCTTCCTTTTCCTACCTCCTCCAGCCCTCGAGGATGTGACAGGAGATAGATGACCTGTCTTGCCTTATTTTTACTATACTTAAGCTAACACCAAAAATTTCTCTTTGGCCATTCTGTTTATTCATTCAACTATATATTTAATATAAAATTATTCATAAACTCACATTAGGCTAGAGTTTAAGGGAAAACCAGTGATTAAAGCAGATATGATTTATACCTCCTAACCTCATCCACCTTTCACTCATTTTTTTTCAGTCTTCTACAATATTCAGCCCTCGATGGTAACATAAAAGTTTTCCTTCCCCAATGATTCAGGTTTCAAACTGAGGAAGCGGCGCATTACCAACGAGCCCACCGTAGGCTCGGGGGGCACTGGGAGCTGCCCTCACTTACTGGAGGCCATTCCCTGCGAGGAGCCATCCTGCTACGAGTGGAAGGCAGTGAGGCTTGGAGACTGTGAGCCAGACAATGGCAAAGAGTGTGGTCCAGGCACTCAAGTTCAGGAGGTTGTCTGCATCAACAGTGATGGTGAGACCTATCTGTCCTGCTTTTGTGATTGTCTGTTTGACCCTATGCTTTATCCTCTCTCATCTTCTCTCATCATAATTGGTTCCATTAAAAAATACAGAAATAGCTACTGATTCTTTCATTCTTCCCTTAGCTCCTTCCATCCCCCTCCCTACCTCCCTTCCTCCCTGCTTTCCTCTCCTTCCCTGCCTCCCTCCCTTCCTAATTGTGACAGTAAAGAGGTTCTTTGAACAATCACAGTATTTTTTCATTTGAAAACAGGTAACACAGACTAAGAATTAAATCATCATTAGGCCAATAATGTATTACACCGCCAAATTTTAAAATAATGAGAAAAGGTAACATTTTCCTAATTGGTATTTTTCCCCTCTAAGAAAATGAGAGGCGTTATAAGGGTTGGTTGACTTGTCCTGAGAAGCCTTTACCAGCATTTCACATCCTGATATTACAGCTTAGTGATATAATGTAATTTCCAGGTTCCAGAGCCACTGGGCCTATCTCACCCTCGAGTTCCTGCATCAGCCTTCTGAGCAATAGGGCCTCCCCTCGGGGACTGTCACACAGCCACTGGGGTGGCGATTGCCCATGGTTCTTTTCCTGAACTGCCTTGGTCTTTTACCACTGAGTTTTGTTTGATAAAATATCCTGTCTTGTTAGGCCTGACATAAGATGTGCATTCTTTCCTAGAGTGCTGCTGCTGTTTTAAGGAGATCCCCTTACTCCTCAGCTATCCCTGGGTCACACTTAGGAAGCAGACCTTCCCCAGACGTAGCTTAAAACCCCTGGCGCAGAGCATCCCTAAGGCTCCTTCTTGCTCTCCAATCTATGACTCTGCACAGCAGGGCAGCTTGAGCACCATGCCCCAGGGGCCTGTGTTCTGACAGTCTGTGCTGTTTCCAGCAGGCTCGGAAGCATTCCGACGCCCTCCCAGGGGCACGGGGACATCTGGTAGCCATCATAATTCCTTCCGTCCCATTTTCTTACCGCACACAGGACTGCTTCCGCCTGTGAGGCAGTCACTATGCAGTAAAGAAAGTTATCCTCTGGGGTGAGAGAATGACAGACCCTGTCAGCGCTGCCAAATTAGCCTTTCGACTCTGAAACGCACAGCGTCGTCTTTGTCCAGAGCCCAAGGTAGTTGGGCAGGACATCACCACACTAGCGCCTGCGGCTGGAAGGTGAAGAAAGGGGTATCGATCCGATAGTTTGCAGCAAAGATTATCTATTTTTCTGTTTTCTCGGTAGATACAGTTAACTAGGATACAGCCTCTCTCTCCCTTGTACCCAGTTCTGCCCTGAAGAATAAGAAAAGGAGACTCACATCTAGGAAAAAGAAAGCAGAAGAAACACATTCTGTGGCACTTGTACACCCACTTCACCTCCTCATGTGGGTTGGATGGCACCCTCTGTGTTTCCTTCTGAGCTGCTCTAGAAGCAGTACGGGTCATATTTACGTTGGCACCCTTAGTAACTCTTTAACTGATAACACTTCTTGATTTGCACCCCCCTCAATTGAAATATTTTCTTTTATCCTCCTGTAGGCCTAGGGAGGAACTGGGATCTCATGTACTTGGTCTATTTGGGCAAGCTAACATTAAAAAAAATAAATGCTCAGATGAAAAGTTAATTGCCCATCAAACTTTTGCCCAAATATTGTCAGATGAAAAATCAGATCTCACTTATTGCGGTGCTCTTCCTGAATGATTGTGCAAATTGGGTATATCTTAAATATACTAGAGGAACTGGCTATTTTAAAACTATCAGTGCTTGTTTCTAATTTTGTCAGGCGAAATATTTTGTAGCACAGATATTTACCTCGTAAGTTGTGGAACATGAAAGAACAAGCAGAAGAATGAGTTAGCTGTGCCTGGTTCTATGGAAGAGTGATGTGTGTTATAACTTAAAAGGCAAACGGATAACTCGCAGTACATCTAAGCTGGTTTCCCTTCATGTATTGCACAGAAAGAGGGATAAAAAATGGTAAGATGTTCGCTTATGGATATTGGATTCGTCATTATTGTCCTTTATTAGGACATCTCTTTCATCATTAAATTTTACTTCCTGACATAAATTAGTTGTAGTGCAGCTCAGTATTTTAACTGGCTCAACTACAGGGATGTATAAAATCAAGAAAATCCTCTATTATTGTATATCCTAGAGGCTGTCCAAATTTCTATATAATGGAACCATAATTGCGCTGATAGAATCAGAGCCAAAGCTGGAACCTTATAAATACTCCTCCAGTACTGTTGGTTGGTCACCTATAAGTGTTTAGCAGCTGCACCAAATGTTATTTTATAATTAAATCGAACCCAGAGAATTAAAGTTGATTAGTTGTACAGGCTCTACCTCTAGGCCTGGCTGCGACTATAGATTTTCTTTTTATAATTAAGTTAAAGCTCAACTAGGGAAATGAAGAATTTGAGTCTATGAATATAGAAAATAATAAAAATGCTTTTTTTCCCTTTTTTTTACCTCCCACATTCCCCATAAATTTGCAATCTTGTTAATGACCTTAAAACATTTAAAACGTCTATTTTTTTTTCCTGAAATATTTTTGTCCGGGCTTCCGGAGATCATTAAGATTTGCTGGTGCTGGTTTATTTATTTATTTACTTTTTCATTGCTCCAGTTGTCTTTTAAGGAGTGGGATTGGGAAAGGGTTGTGAGAGCACTCAGGAATCCTGTGCAAGTTCTCTGCCAGGTAGAGATGTATAACAGAAGCAAGACAGAGAACTTAGAAACATTTCATGTGTAATAGAAAAATTGTCACTCATAATTTAAAGGTGCTCTGAAAAGCAATTTTAGATCTCTGAGCACAAATACAGGAACTACTCCAAAGGTCTGGCGGTAACGTTGGTGGGCCGGAATTGGACAATGAGAAAAGCCAAATCTTCTCTACTTCAGATTTTGCAAAATTTGCCCTTGTTTTAGTTAAGGGTGTGAATTTGGGGAGGCCAGAGTATTTTGTTTCCCCAATCAGTTGGTTAGAGGCAAAACTAAGCAAGACTATTAGGCTGAATGTGGGAAAAAGAAAATCCACTGTCTTTTGATTATTTAAGGACACTGTAACCAAATATTATTTTCATATTTTCCCTCTCTCTGCGGAAAAAGAAATAAATGATGCCATCCATCTGATTACCACATGCTTAACTTCAAGTGTCAGTGTACTGTACTGACACCTCTCTGTGCCAATTTTGAAACCACAGTTTGTTGTTTTGTTTTGGTACTGCTTGGAAAAGCAGTGAACCTCAGCAGTTGTGAAATGCCTTCTGTGCCACCTTTCTTATTTCTCTCCACATTAGTAAAAGTAAACGTAGGGACATTCATGTAGAGGACTCATGTTTATGCTTGAGTTTTATGAAACCAAACAATTACATTTGTATGAAAACCAACTGATACAACAATTCATCCTTGCATGGCTATTAATGGTGCAGTAGCAAGAGCAGTGACCGGCCAGGACTCTCAGAGTGGATTATGCTATTCTTAAAGCACTATGGCTCTGGTTCAGCTCTTTTCTTTTCCATCGGGGAAAGCATATAAAAATTCAACTAAAGGGGAATATCATTTTATGTATAACCGCAAATCACTCTAACTTATTGGTTAAAAGTAACTGACTTTAAATGTCACTAACAACCAATGTTTTATATATACCTAAAATCTGATTATAAAACTCCACTGTGTCATATCATTATGGTTAGAAAGAATTGGATTAATAAGAACATCCAGTAACCAATTCCTCATGTACAGATAGAAGGACTTAAGATAATATTAGATGTTTATAAATCATATGTAAATAGGTATAAGATATATTACCATGTGCATGTGAATTCATTACATGGAAACATTTTTCAATTTATTGTGTGAGAGTTTAGATCTGTTTTTGTAAAGAGTGCCCTTGTTTCCCCAGTATCAGAATATCCTTAAAAGTGTGCTGTGAAATCAGATTCCTAAGTCTTCTCTATTGACCCAGTAAATTACAACCTGTGAAAGCAAGTCCCAGAAAATTGCATTTTTACAAAGCTTCCTGGATGGCTCTGCTGTCCAGTGAAGGTTGTGAAAATGACAAAACTTTTTTTGGGGAACATAAGACCCAACTCTGTTATTAAAGGATAGGGAGCAAAACACCAAGAATAGAACAAGAGAAATTACAAAGTATATTGTTGAGACTAATATTTTGATTGATCGAGGATATACATAAACTCTCCTAGAAGCATAGGTTTTATTCAGGATGCACCCACAGGAGACACCAGTAAGACAAGGGGAAACAAAGAAGCAAAATAAAAATGTCAATTCTATGTTTAGAGCTAGATGAGAATGCAATTTCAGAAGCGTGATCACTCTCTGGAACTGGAATCTGCTTCTTAACACCAATTACACAGCCATTACATGAAAAAGCTGATCTTTTAAATGCAAAAATACTCTCTATAACTGAGTTGTTTTTCCATAATTTAAGCAATAAATCAACTAAGTTTCCTTCCTGTAGAATGCTCTGCTATTTAATGTGCTTGGAATATAATTAGGTTGGATATTATGCTTAAATCTAAAGTCTCTTACTTTACAATTAGGATAATTTAACAATGTTGGTAGGAGTTTGTTTCCTATAATTGAATTAAGATTCTCTATTTAATTTTTGTAAAGACAAAAATTTTCTTTAATTTAAGGCAGTGGGGTATTTTTCACTGTTGGTTTGTAGTAATCACAATTTTACTTTGGCCTTTAAAAATCTGACATCAGATACCAAGATCTGTCTTCTGTGTGTTTGTTTTGGGTTTGTGAACTCTCAGGATTGAGCCGAGGTTCTTTTGCATAACAATGCCGTAGCAAAGAAACAGAATTTTGGAAAGAGTTTTTTTTCTTTAAAGTAGTGTAAATTTAGCTGAAGCCTCAGATGCAAGATAAGTAACCAGTAATTTGCTTACCACTAATGATCCTATATAATAAAAGGCTAATATGCAAATTGACTGAATGGTGGAACAATCAGTTGCTATGACATACAC